CTAAAGTTTTTAAACTTAGTTGCAAGTTCTTTTGTAAAACGTATCCCTGCATCTCTAACTTGGTTGGTGAGAACTTCAGCAGACATTATACAACCAAAAAAGATGGCATGATTTGCAAGCAATATAGTTTGTAATCATTGAACCACATAAGAAAACAATGCTGCGAGCTTTTCTTTAGTCAAAATGATGATTTGACAACTTTTGATATGATAGCAATATTAACCTCTTACTTTGGGCTCGGTGAATATTAAACACCTCGGGAAGCCAAATAATGATCATATTGTTTCAAAACTGCATTATTGTATATTGTCAGCTCATATATCAATTTTGAAAAAAAGGTTTTGCATTACTTTGTCGGATGAATATTGGAGAAAAAAGCTTTCCTTGTAATCTAGAATGACGGCATCAAAATTGTGCATGCTAACTTTCTTATCTCATATCTCAAAAACTATCAGTGATACAAAGATAATATTACTATATATAAAAAGCCCATGTCCTAGAGAGAATTGGTGCAAAAAAATTCCAACCTCTGAAAATAGGCCTCATGAGAAGCTAAGTGTACCTTATTCTTTATACCTCTTTTTCTTATAGCCAGACTAGCTCGGTTGATATATACGCTGATTTTTACACCGTGGAAACTTTCTTTTTAAAGTAGGGGGATCGAATCCACCTGGCACCACACTTTTAAAGTTTTAAATTTCGCCTTTTCAAAGACTATTCTAATTTTTTTTATAGACTTATGTATTTTCCTTCAATTATCTATCCTTTATACATGCCCATTCTTGATCGATATTAGAAACACTAAAGAGATATCAAATTGTAAAAATCCAATGAACAGTTGTCAGTCAGGTGGAACAAACCTCAGTATAAGCACATATTCTTCGAGGACAAAAATAACTCACTCTGCGTTACTCGATACAGGTATTCTTTGCAGTATTGAGCTGCGATGAATTTCAATTGTATATATTCCGCAGAATTAAATCACATTGATTTTGGGTACATATATCAGTAACTGTACTCCCTCGGATTTGATTTAGGCCTATATAATTTACCTACATTAATGGCATTTTTTTTATTATATTCACGGATAAATAGTCTCGACATTATACAATTATTGCTGTTTTTTGAGGTCAATACAATGATTTAGCCATCTGAGGGGTACAATATTCACTGAGCCCAAAGGGCAAGGTGAATATTGTACTTCGAAGATGGCTAAATCATTGTATTGACCAACCAGAAGTCTCTGTCGAGACTGAAGCTCTACTGGTTTGTACTTATAGCAAAGGAAGAGGAACGTACTTAAGCAGTTGGGAATTGAAACTTTACACTAGCAAAAAAGAGAATAATGATCCTTGAATAAGTCTATTTATGTTCTTAGTGTAGTCTACTTGCATGCCACATTATATTATAATCAGACTAAAACTTATTTGAAGTAGCCTTTTGAGAGTAACAGAAATTGCTATCTTTATTAACCAAGGTAATACCGGGGTAATATTCATTGAAGTCAAAAACGGATATAAAGAATTATGTACCTTAGTGTTAAAGTCTAGACCACAGACCAAAACTGTAGGAGGATTAGCATTTTGAAAGAATTTTACAGAAATTTCTATTTTTAGTAACAACGCCAACACCGTTCGTCGAAATCAAAAACCAATGCACAGAATTATGTATCTTAGTGTAGTCTACTTGTGTGCCAAGTTATATTGAAATCATACCAAAACTGTAGGAGGAGTAGCATTTTGAAAGACTTTCACAGAAATTTCTATTTTTAGTAACAACGCCAACACCGTTCGTCGAAATCAAAAACCGATACACAGAATTATGTATCTTAGTGTAGTCTACTTGTGTGCCAAGTTATATTGAAATCAGACCAAAACTGAAGGAGGAGTAGCATTTTGAAAGACTTTCACAGAAATTTCTATTTTTAGTAACAACGCCAACACCGTTCGTCGAAATCAAAAACCGATACACAGAATTATGTATCTTAGTGTAGTCTACTTGTGTGCCAAGTTATATTGAAATCAGACCAAATCTGCAGGAGGAGTAGCATTTCGAAAGAATTTCACAGAAATTTCTATTTTTAGTAACAACGCCAACACCGTTCGTCGAAATCAAAATCCGATACACAGAATTATGTATTTTAGTGTAGTCTACTTATATGCCAAGTTATATTGAAATCAGGTCAAAACTGTAGGAGGAGTAGCATTTTGAAAAATTGTTTACAGACAGACAGACAGACAGACGGACAGACGGACGGACGCCGGACGCATTACTATCGCATAAGCTCTTCTGGTCTCTGACCAGTAGAGCTAAAAATGAAAGTCTTGTCCAGTTCGGGGCAACATACGCTATTAATTGCTTGCAATAGCAAACTTTCTAGTTTTTGTTTGATGTGTTGATCAGTGCAATCGATTCCTTTCCATAAATAAGTAAAACCACAATTATTATATATTATTTATTCATAGCTTAACCGTTAACCTTCCCATCCTACACACAGTTTATAAACAATACAGGAATGTAATTATGGAAATATAAATCACATCGTCAGATAAAGCAATAACTTTTCAAACAAATTTTCAATAAGACTAACATAATCTCAGCAAGATTTGTAGAGACTAAAAATTTTGGTCTGGAGATGTCAATCCAAAATGTTTAGTCTCTACAAATCTTACTGAGATTAATATTAACGCATCTCACTCAATTTGTTTGACCACATCGTTACAGTTATGAGACCATAAATTTTAAAAATAATCATTCAAATTAATATTGCATAAGTATAGCGACTAAAAGCCTGACCTAAATACAATGGGTACCTTGAAACAATGCCTTATAAAATGCATAGTTGACCTGTCTAGCAAGTAAACATGTACTTATCTTATAGGTATTCAAGACACTCATGCATTCAAACTTAAACTTGAAAGTAATCAGGAAAGAAATGTTACAGTACATTACTACAAATAACTGTACTTTATGCAAAATAGACCTAATATACTGATAATTTATGCATGCATTCATTTTCAGAATCATTCTATATTGACTTGCCCTTATATTTGACACATATGTTGTCATTTCCACAATCTTCTAAATTGGATCAAAACAAAACGAAGAGAAAAACAAAACCAGATGATAAAGAAAATAAGAAAAACACAAAATAAATCATTATGAACATAAAACAATAAATTTATGGATAATTTATATTCCATTTTTAAAATTATTAACCTACTGAAATCAATATCTGCCCATCTTAATTATAATGTCACATGGTCACTTTGTTGCAATGGAAAAAGTAAGAACAAAGTAAACTATAAATCAATAACTGTACTGAATAACACAGTACAAAAGTATCAATTTATGCATAAACATAACTTGATAATAAAAGCATAACCAAGTCACTACAACATACATGTAACTTTCATAACTTAATTATGATGCAAAATATTCAAGGCATGATACAATATAATGCAGTCATAATATTACAAAATCATAACAAGGTTACCCTGGAACATAACACACATCACTTCATAACATAACACATCACTTGATAACCATTCATTAAGTATAATAACTCGATCACTACATATTATATTACTGCATAAAATTGACAATTCATTTTATAATGAAACCCAATAAATACAGAAACTAAATCCAGTCATTAGCTAAAATGACCCAGTCACTACACTACATAATCCAGCCACTGCACTACATATACTGGTCTCTACACTACAAAAAACTGTCACTACACAACATAACCCAGTCACTACACAACATAACCCAGTCACTACACAACATATCCCAGTCACTACACAACATAACCCAGTCAGTACACAACACATCCCAGTCACTGTGCAACATAACCCAGTCAATACACTACATATCCCAGTCACTACACAACATAACCCAGTCACTACACAACATAACCCAGTCACTACACAACACATCCCAGTCACTACACTACATAACCCAGTCACTACACAACATAACCCAGTCACTACACAACACATCCCAGTCACTACACAACATAACCCAGTCACTACACAACATAACCCAGTCACTACACAACACATCCCAGTCACTACACTACATAACCCAGTCACTACACAACATAACCCAGTCACTACGCAACACATCCCAGTCACTACACAACATATCCCAGTCACTACACAACATATCCCAGTCACTACACAACATAACCCAGTCACTACACAACATATCCCAGTCACTACACAACACATCCCAGTCACTACAATACATAATCCAGTCACTACACAACATATCCCAGTCACTACACTACACACCCCAGTCACTACACTACATATCCCAGTCACTACACAACATAACCCAGTCACTACAATACATATCCCAGTCACTACACAACATAACCCAGTCACTACACAATACATCCCAGTCACTACACAACATAACCCAGTCTCTACACAACATAACCCAGTCTCTACACAACACATCCCAGTCACTACACTACATATCCCAGTCACTACACAACATAACCTAGTCACTACACTACATATCCCAGTCACTACACAACATAACCCAGTCACTGCACAACATATCCCAGCCACAACACAACATAACCCAGTCACTACACTACATATTCCAGTCACTACACAACATAACCTAGTCACTACACTACATAACCCAGTCACTACACAACATAACCCAGTCACTGCACAACATATCCCAGCCACTACACAACATAACCCAGTCACTACACTACATATCCCAGTCACTGTGCAACATATCCCAGTCACTGCGCAACATAACCCAGTCACTGCACAACATATCCCAGCCACAACACAACATAACCCAGTCACTACACTACATATTCCAGTCACTACACAACATAACCTAGTCACTACACTACATAACCCAGTCACTACACAACACACCCCAGTCACTGCGCAACATAACCCAGTCACCACACAACATAACCCAGTCACTACACAACATATTCCAGTCACTGCAATACATATACCAGTCACTACACTACATATCCCAGTCACTACAATACATAACCCAGTCACTACACAACATAACCCAATCACTGCACTACATAACCCAATCACAACACAACATAATCCATTCATTTAACTACATAATCCAGTCACCTCACAACACAATCCAGTCACTACACATCATACTGCAACATTTATCACATATTAACTAACAAAAAAAACCAAATACTGGTTTGTTGTATGGCATAATAAGTTTGTTTGGCATAATAAGTTTTTGGACTGAACAGTCACTTATAGATGGAAATCCTTTACTGAACACTCTGTTGATGAACATCTTGCATCAGCCTCTTCATAAGGCAGTCCTGTTTTATTACAGATCAGATAAACCATTGCTTCTTTCAGTAGAATGAATGAGAAATAGTGAACTGCCATTCTGAAAAAAGACAAATCTTTTGAAAATAATGCATGCTTACATATATTCTAATGGGTATAGGGAGTACATTCATAAATTGTTATGCTGCTTTTTAAACATGTAATAGATCTGGTAAAAAAAATAAAAATTATTGAGTATACATACAGTGGACTATCTATAAGGATACTTTCCAATTCTTCATTTTCAAGAGTTTGGAAGGTTCTATATCGAGTGAAAATGGATCTGGAAAATTATTTAAAATTTATATAAACCTGGTAAAAAAGTAACCAAAAAGAGGAATTAAGACAATAAATGACAAAGAATTACAAATAGAGTACAGTTCTAAATTTCTAATGCATTCGTGACTTCAAAATCAAATAATTATCTGCAAACTCTTACCCAGGCAAAGGTTTGCTGCAGAACATTTCTTCTTGGAGAACTGTTTGTAGATGTTCTTGTTCCTATTAAAGTAAGTCAGCATATTGTCCATTGAAATGTAAACAGAAAATACTTTTGGAAATGCACATAAATTATCTTAAGTTCCAATGAAAAGATTCAATAATTTTTTCAGTGCAATTTTTGATACAACATTTAAAATGAACATACGTACATGTCATGTACTATTTCAGATATAATTCTTCTAATTCTTACCTGAGAACTTAAAAATTTTCTTCCAAAGAAATACTGTTTAATGTATTTGTCATACATATCTGCAGGGCTCTTTACAAACATATGATGGCGGGCATGATCAGCTTCATCACTGGAAAATGTAAATAAAATGAAAGTTGTGTGTCTACCTGAGACTTTATCTATTACTTATGATATACAAATGTATACAATTTCATCATTTTTTTTAAATATCATATTTGTACAGGAATATTAACAGAACAAATTACCATTCATCAATTTTGCAGTTCATTATCTTTGTTAGAGCACCTATTACACTGTTCAGCTGTAAAAAGAATGTTTACTTAATAATATGTATTGTACAAAACTATTCAATTAATTTGATAAACATGAATAATGTATTTAACTTTCTTATACTCACATGACTGTTAATATAATCTGTATCAAATACTGAAAAAAAGAGCTTTTTATTAAAATTTCAGCAAAATACAAAGCAATATATTTACCTGAACACAGTAAAGTACATATGAACTACCCACCAGAAGATTGTGTCACAACATCAGCTGCATCTTGTACCTCCTCTTCATCATTTCCAGTGCCCTCTTTTCCCCTGCATATTTATAACATCACTTTGTACATAAAAATATTTTACCATGTAATAAATAGTCTTTATTATCAATATATTGCAAATAATTTTTTTTAAGCAAATGTTCTTTTCATTTTTCTGCAAACCATGTACTATTTGTTTTGCCAAAGCTTAGCATTAATGAAAAGTATACATCTCAGCTACATGCACTCACATATTTTCACTCTGTGTCTGGTTCTCAGTTTCACAAGTAAGCCTATATTAGTGTAAATGAGATAAGTTTAGATTATTAATTCTAAGTAGCAAAAATTCGCAATTTTCCAAAACCCATAGATAGAGTTAAATAATTATAATTATGATAAGATTTATTGTTGTTCTTTAAAAGTAATATTAAAAAAAAGATTGAACTTACTTGCAATCATCCGTACTTAAAGTCTCTTCTTTGACAGGTAGATACCTAAAAGGAAAAGAAATTAAAAACCATTTTTAAAAAATTCATTGTGAAAAGGATTTACAGTAGAAATGAATGTTGATGAACTGATTGGTTTTATTATCAATCATACTTGTTGATCATATTGTTATAAATTAATAATCATACTAAGTTGATAAGATATATAAAGATACTTTAATTACAACTACAAGTAAAACAAATAAATCATTTAATGTAACTTAAATAGCAACAGTTCTATGTAATGCATAAATCAATACAAGTTTTAGAAAACTTGCTTAAAGGGTGTCCTAAATATTACAAGGCTAGTACTGTTGCATGAAAAAAAATAGATTAGCAGGTTCAGAATGTTCCTGTTAACAAATCTTTACTTGAGTTTATGTTATCTAACCCAAAAGGCACTAGGGAGATTTATCAATCAAAATTTGTCCATTGTCTGTCTTTTTAAAAAATTTTTTTACAGGTATACAACTGAACTAATCTAAGCTAAATTTGATACAAAGCATTCAAGAATGCATGAAGTTCTTTTTTTTTTTTCAAATTAAAAACCATGTACCATCTCCTTTTTAAGGGGGGATAATAAAGATTAAGTGAAATGGACATCTTTCAAAAAATCTTCATTAAAAAACCACTGAGTTGGAAAAGATAAAATTTGCATTATGAAAGCTTCATTACATAGTGTAAATTTTGTTTTTTTCAAACAATTTCCACCAGTGGTAGGATGGGGCCTTCATAGTTTTATGAAATGTCTTCTTATTGTAGATTGAATTTTGTGACCCAGGTGAGTCTTGTGACCCATAGGCCTGCTGTTTGTTCATGCATGTTATAATTTTCTAAGTTAAATGTATAAATCATCATATCATTAACTTGTAATATATGTAAACAGCTAATCTACTAAAAGTATATGGTAAAAAAATCTGTGAAAGGTTTTACAATATGTAAACATTTAATTTTTTGATTGCATGACTTTCTTTTTAACTTGTGAAACAATTTATTCCAAAGTCATGTGACATCACTGAAATGATATAAATCGGGAAAACGGAAGAAAAATATCACTCAGAGAGCAAAATGAATTGTTCAAGGTACATGTGCATACTTTTTTCCCAGATTTTCTTATGATTCTGAACAGTCATGCAAATTTCAGCAAATAAAACTAATCAGGTATTTATGTATCTCATAAACAAATTGCTTCTCTCTCATTAATTATTGACAGTACAAAAACACACTAATAAGACATTACTCCTTAAAAGTTTCATCTTCTGTATTGATGATTAAAATATGTCCTTTAGAACTATGAGATTCATAATCATATATGAATAACAATTCATAATCATATATGAATAACAATAGAAAACTATGTTTAGGAAAAATATATTCAAACGACATGTTTTCCTCATGAATATCAACATCATAAGCTCTTTTTCTGCAAAACAAATTAAAGGGAATAAAATCTACCTTAATAACCACATTAAACTTGCAACAAATCAGGATATTATAACATAATTGTTATTATGTGCATATGAACAAAAATTCATTTTAAAACATAGGTAATCAGAGATTACAGAGCTCACCTCAACGAAATAAAGTTTGATAAATATTCATATATTCAAAAAACTTCAAACATGTTTTTGAGAGTTTTCCTTGATATATGAATATCAGCATAAAAAGAAAACATAAGGTCACTTTCTTCTGCAAAACAAGTTACCTATTAATTAGGTAGTTGATATAAAATGGGTTTCACAATTAATTATGCACACATTAAACTTGCAACAAATCAGAACATATGCTGTGCATCTGATTATAACATAATTGTTTGTATGTGCATATGATTTTACTTTCACAAAAATTCATGATTCATAAAAACTGAAACTTTAAAAATACTGGTACCTTTTTTGGATGTTTTCTTAGATCATATGAGAGGGTAGGGCAATCCTTGAAAAACAAGAATATTTAAATATTAAATATGCATTATTTAGTGTAATAATTAAATTAATTTTGTAGAGTTGCGCAAGCATGCATAATTATGAAACACTGAAGTGAACTAGAAATATGTGAGCCTATGCTCACTAGTAATACCCCTGCTCTGATGTGAATATACAATAACATATTAATAAACATTACATGTATATGCATGGAAAAATAGGAATTTGACATCAGATTCAAATAAAAATAAATCCGACCATACTGCATGCCTCAACAAAGTATGTACTAAAATTTCAAAGATCTGTTAAGTGTTATTGCTGAGAAAACTAGCTGTGATGAAAATTTGTTAATTCATGATAGCATGCCTCACAAAAGAGTGTGCTTAAATTGTGAAGCATCTGCGATGAGTATAGTTGCTGAGAAAACTGTGACAAAAATTTGGTATGAATGAAACATGTATGAAATAGACAGACACACGGACAAACAGGAACATGTCATCAGATTTAAATTAAGAATAAAATTAATCCAATCATATGGCATGCCTCAGAGAATATTATTTAGAATTTCAAGCATCTGCAATGAGTAGTTGCTGAGAAAACTGCCAAGAAAATGTGTTATGCATGAAACATGTATGAAACGGACAGACAAACAGGAAGTTGACATCAGATTAAAAAAAAAATGAATCCCATCATATGGCATGCCTAAGAGAAGATTGTATTAAAATTTCAAGAATCTTTGATGTTGAGTACTTACTGAAAAAACTGCAATGAAAATTTGTTACGGACAGCTAGACAGACAGACAAGGGTAAAACAGTATAACCCCCCCCTCCTTCGTAGCAGGGGTATAAAAATAAAAGCAATTCTTTGAATAAATTCAAATACCCTATTATTCTATTTGTTACTTTGTAAATAAAATAAGACTAAGTTGTTTTACCTTGGCAACTTCTTTGTTAACAGATTCCAAGTCAGCTTCATACTTTCCCTTCAACACAAATAATGATACAGAATTAAAGACCGAATGAGAGACAGACAGATAGACACACACCCTTACAGAGAGAGAGAGAGAGAGAGAGAGAGAGAGAGAGAGAGAGAGAGAGATGGAGAGAGAGAGAGAGAGAGAGAGAGAGAGAGAGAGAGGAGAGCATTTAATGCTGGAGTCCAAAGTGAAAGTATGTCTTTTGGATTGATTTTATTTACCCAGAAATTTATTCTGCACATTCTGCATTTAAATTCTGTGAATTCTTCAAGATCCATGTCCTCTTCAATGCAGAAAGGCTTAAAGTGGTAGGCTCTTTGGCACATGCTGCATTCAATCTTTGTTAGATTTAAAAAAAAAAGAGATGTATAATAAAGTTGACAAACAAGATTGAAAATGAATTACATGATTAAAAAAAAATATATGTTGCTGTCAGATCATATTGTATGGTTGAAGTATTTACTCTGATATCTGTAGAATAAAGCAATACAAATCTGAGTTATATGTATTAATTTCAAGGTAAACATTAGTTTGAGTTAAGTTGTTGGTAAACATTCTTTCTCATTTTGTAGGAAGACATTGATATGCATGGTGTGTTATCGTTGTAAGATCTACCTTTTCCTCATTTTCAATTTTTTTAGCACATTTTGGGCAACATCCTGTCAAGTTAACTGTAATGAAAAAAGAAATGCAAAGTTCTGTACTATTCAAATCTCTCTTATTTTAACTAGACATGTCCTGATTTCTTTTCCATTATTATAACTGTAATGCACCTGAGAAATATGAAAACCATAATCCCACCCACTCAGTGGGCTAAGTTAAAGTTGACAACAGACAGACAGGATGGGACAAAAACACTATACCCCTGGGATATTTAGATCTGGGGGCAAAAAAATGAATACAAAATAAATACCTTTGTAAAGCATCAACTCTAAAGCTACTTTTCTCCTCATGATTTGTAGATCTTTTTTAGTTAATTACTTTGTAGATCATGCAAGTGTCCATTTAAATGCTTCTCTGCAAACTAAAATAAAATTTC